TTATCAGCCTGCTGGTGGTTTCTTCTGGTTTTCGGCTGAAGGGAAATATATTCTTTATGTATGCACATCTAGAGATGGTTTCGCTGTTGGATATACACCTCGTATTTTAGGTAATTTCAGGATGTTATACACGACAAAATTTTTCTAGTCAATGGAAGGCTGACATTTTGTTTATAAATCATTCAAAAGAATTTGTGATTTTAGACTTAGAGGTGAATCGTTTACAAAGAATTATTTGGTTTTCTAATGCATTAGAAAACGCTGATTATTTGTTGCGGTTCTTACTTTACTGTTGGAGTTTAAAACTTTCATTAGGCTTAAAAATCTCTTAGTTGCTTTATTTATTACAATATTTCATAGTTTTTAAATATTGGAATTTCTGAGACAGACCGCAAACAGAAAATTTTTGCAGTTCCTACCGGTCATGATCCTCAAGAACCGACTTTTTCACCAACCATATCAACAAGAAGTTCAACAACAACAGCGTCCATAACTCTGTCAACGAGTGGTACAAATGGAACTTACGCAACAACAACGTCCGTAAATTCGCCAGTAATTACTACAAGAGGAAGTTCGACAGCAACGATGTTGCCAAATTCGTCAGCGAGCATTACGGCAGGAAATTCGACAACAACAGCAACAGAAAAATCAACTTCAGCGACGTCACTAAGTTCATCAACAAGTACTATAGTAGGAAAATCAACTCAAATCCCTACTGGGCTTGCGGAGCCGAAAACTTATGTTTTCTCTCTTTTACTGTTGTCTTTATACATTGTTTACATGTTTATAATATAATTTGGTTTTGTCAGGATCAATCAAATCGTACAGAACACATGATGTTTCTTTTGGCATTTTTACTGTCAAAGTGTTATTTCACAACAAATCTATCTACCTTCTATCTCGTAAACAGTGAATAATATCGGCAAAAACATTTTCACAGTTTTTTAACTCTAATTTTTTAAATATTTTTTTTTAAAACATGCATCAAAATTTGAAAAGTTTAAAACTGTTGTCCAGATGAGCTTTACCTGTCTGATGAGCCTCAGCTATTTTTTAAATTAATCTCAAGAGCGAAAGAAAAATTTCTTTGTGGTGTATTACCAGCACAAAATTAAAAGAAAGATTTCCCACTGCGAACATTCATTAGCTTATTACTTCGAAGCAGTTTCTTCACCAGCCAGAAGCCGAAAGAAATCAGAAATGTTTGTTGAAGAAGCGGTTGACTCGAAGCGTAAAAAAAGCTCTTTAAAAGTGATCTATACTACACGTTTTACACGAGGTTACACGGAACTTTAGACCGTTAATAGGTAAGCCGTAGAGATAAATCTGTTCGACTTCAAAGTATGCTACTATTTCACTACTTGAAAGCAATGGCTTAACTGCTTTTATCAAGGCAAGTTCTATTCACAATTACTTGTCAATGCTTTTGTTTTTTAAAAGATTTTATAAAGCTGTTAGAAGAGTTAAGTATTATTTTGCTTGGTTACGGACATAAAACAAATTTCTCATTACTTCAAGAAGGCCAGTTGAACTGTGGTTGAGCACAATACTAAACAGAACAAGGTATATTGTAAAGAAGCAAATTTAGAGAAATCAGAATAAGGTGGTAATTATTTTGGACTATTTCAGCTAGAATTTGGTAGCGTAATATTCCTTTAGCAGGATTTGTCAATTAACAAGGTTTTTTTTTATACTTGTAGAAGTTCAAGTTTTACTCTTTCTTGAAATTAAACCATAGAAAACTTTTGCAAATAGAAGCTTTTATACTGAAAAAAAGAAGAATTAAAACAGTTGTTGGAGAACAGATCAGAAAACGATAATTTTTATCTTCCATTTGCAGAGCTGTTTGTTACTTATCATTTTCGAAAATTTCTTATTTAGTTTCAGCTGTAGAAATGTCATTAGAGTTTCAAAAAAATTGCGAAGTCAAATACACGTGATGAGTACATAAACGCTTTAAGTGCATTTCTAATTTATTTATCATTGTTGATTAACTTCTAACGTATAACAAGTTTAAAGACCCAGAATTGTCTCACACATTTCCTCTTAAATTTTTTTCCTCTAAATTGCTCTTTGTTTTTTTCCACCAAACTAAAAAAACAATTCAAACTTTTGTAAAATTTTAAAAAGTTTCAAGAAAAAGTACTTTTGCTTATAATATTACTGCGTAATTTTAAGAAATTTTTTTTACAAAATTAGCCTTAAAAGTTATACAGCAGCTGTTCGTAGTGTTTTCAAATTTCACATTTAAAATTTCGTTTTTTTGATTAAGTGCAAAAAATTTTTTATTTAATTCAGCAGAGGAAGTTTTTCTAGTCTTATACGTGTGCCAAGTGTCTATTAATTTATCGTTTATAAATCAACAGTGGTTACCTAATTGATAGGACAAGGCTAAACAACAAACTGCATGTTCTTGTTCAACAACTTCTTCATTTTCAACAGATATTCTAAGAAAGAAAAGTAGGTACCGAAAAATTAAAATGGTGCTTTTCTAAATGCGGAAGAAAAAGCGCATTTAAGACGTACAAACGATTATATTCGCTAAAGCTTATTACAACTTAAAATTTTTAAAACTACAATAAATTTTGTAGAGCCAAAATTTACAAATAAAAAAGAGGTCTTTAAAACTGCAACTTGTTCAAACTGAAGCTTGGAAATGGCTGTATATTTTCGCCAGCAGCTACAAAAGCTGAAAACTTTGAAAAATTTTAAAAGAAATCTAGGATTTGATAAACTGTGACGTAAAATACTGTGACAACATATGCGCAAAGCTGAGTGTAATACTGAATCTTTAATACTTTCAAAAACAGCTTTAACTTGGAACTCAACTTTTAGAGCACGTAAAGCTTAAAGAATTATTATTGCTAGTAGGTAAACTTGGAAGGAAACTGTAAAAAAGTGTATGAAGTTTTTTTATCATACAGCTGCCTAATTCTCAAAATTATAATTAACTGTTTTTCTAAGAAACATTCTAATTTTCATTTTTTTTTTTGGTTTATTTTTTTTCAGAAGATTGCTCACTCGCATAATTGTTCGCTAAAGTAAACTTTGAAGATTGAACAAATGCGAAATTATCTGCAGACGAACAGAAGCACTTATTTCTTCTCGTAAATTGGGGTAGAAATAAATATTTGTTACAAGAGAAAAAAAAAGTTAATTTTATGACAGTTAAGGCATTATTTTATTATACTCGGCACTATATCCTTCTATCCCACTGTTCGTTTCAGCTTTAAGTCTTAGCTCCAGAACGCGGGGCTCTCGTAGTTCTAACACTTTTTCCAGCTAGAAAATTTTTACGTATCAACAACTGTGCTTCTAGTGCTTTTTAGAAGTGTCATTAATCAAAACTTTAGTGAAATCTATAATTGTACATAGGCAGTCAAGAAACAAAAGCTTTCATCTTTACAGTAACGTCAAAAACTTTTTCTGGATCAATTAACTAACTGAACAAAGATTTCCAACAACATTTTCGCTGCGCACATTTTCCAAAAAAAGATGAAAACAAACCTCTATGACGTCTAACTCAGTACCATTTCGTCCAACTTCAAAACTACGACGTAGAAATTGTTTTAAATGAAAGAACATCTTATTCTCTTTGGCAAATCCTTGTTCCATCATTGAATAACCTAAAAGTGTGAAATATTGAAACTATAGAAATCTTGTTATACTTCAAATGATAAAACCCGTAAAATTTAACGTCTTTAAAGCACAAACACATCAATAACAGATAAGTTTTTACAAATATAGTAACCTTCACTGCTTGTCGTTAAGTAACCAATATGAACTCTAGGATCAACCTTAGTCCGGTTTTTCACTATCAAAAAACCATATTCAGATCGAACTGTGTTTTTCTTTTCGTCAAAGTATGAATGTCTAAAAAATATAAACTGTAAGTAACAAAAAAACAGTATCAATAAAACTTCGTTATTTGATATATTGTCCTGTTAAGGTATAGCAGAAAAAAGCGGCTTAAAAAGCTTTATTCTGACACAGAAAAGCAAGGTTTTTGCAAAATGTTTAAAGATTTCTAAAACAAATTTTTTGTTTTATTGACCTTAAAAAGTGAAAATTACAGTAAAGATAATAATAAAACCAATTGAAAGACTCAGATATTGCAAAAAAAAAAAAAAAAAAAAACTAGCGGATAGAACTGCAGTAATCTATCAAAAAGTGTCAAATTGTCTAGACTTTTTTCAAATAGATCAACGATTACAATTCAGACTTGAGAGGTTATATTTTGTTGGACAACACTGTTTTGTTGTTTTGAAGCAACAGCTTCAAATTTACGGTTTTAGAATTACTTTTGAAACAACTAACGTGATGTTCAAAGCTCGAGCACCAAATTTTGGAACCGGATTGATTGCAAAATCAATTAAATTTGGTGGATAAAATTCCGGATTGTTAGAACTAAGTTTTAGACGTTCAAACTTGGTTAATCCCCAGAGACCAATAAAATCTTTTACAGGCAACAGATCAACTGGCATCCGATCGTAATTGTATCCTGCAAAAAAAAAAAAAAAAAAACAAGCCAAAAAAAAGTGATAATTCTAACAAAAAAAAAATAAGCCTATCAACTATTTTTTTTTGTTTTTTTTTTTGTTTTAAATTTTAATAATTTTTACCGTGATTATACAAATCAGATCATTGACAGCCAGTGAACTGCAGATATTCAATTTTTTTATACATTTAGTCAACTTACGTTTTTTTTTTTTT